TGCCATGTTGCTAATTTATCTTGGTCATTATTGCCTTTATGATGAGCTCAACTTGCTAAATCTCTAACAAGTAAAAATTTAAATAATCATGCTCTTTAGGCCACCACACATATTCTTGTTTCTACTTGAATGAATCTATAAGCTTCCTTGTTCTATTATAAGTATGCTTTGAAATACTATTCGAACATAATTATTAAATCAAAACATACTTGTATAAAATTTGGTTGTATATGTGGACTAACCCTTGTAGGAAAATATTCAAATTTTGTTGGAAATGTTTGGAGATCATTCGTAGAAACAAATTAAGGTAGAGGAATTCTTCAAAACAATTTTGCACACTTTTGCCTTAGCCTTGTTGAAAGATTGAAGTAGTGGTGAATAATAAAGGCACATTATTTAAAACATAGGATAGAGATTCTATACTAATTAAAATGTTAAAACCAACTCTGTTATAGCATAGAGGATGACCTTCAGCCCTATGACAGCACTATCATTGCTTTGAATCATTTGTATACTCATTCGGCTATATGTTGTCACTAATCCCTTGTAGAGAAGAAATAATGAGATGAGCAGAAGGTCCGATCAAAATACCAAAAAAGAACAAAAAGATGGTATGATGAAAGGATGAGAAAAGAAAGAGTGCGACATAGAAGACAAGATGCTCATGAACAGCTCAAGCAAGGAAAGCTTCAAGCAGGAAGAGAAGACCACCATAAGTCATCTACCCTCCATCACATGGTGTCATTACACCACTCTACTGAAGGTAGCGTCTTAAGGTAAGTGGTCATTATTTAAAAAGCTTCCCTTTGATCTTGCTATTTACATAAATGAAGGTACAAATATGTTTGAGTTGCAACTTTGCTTAATTCAACCTGATTAACTCAACATGTTTTGTTCCTTAAGTTTGTTCATAACACCATTTTCTTGATCTCATAGTCTCAACCAAATGAGCTAAAATGTTGCATATCTTATCTTTGGAAGATGATAGTCATAGTCATGTAAAGTTTGATACATTATAAAGATGGATAATCCTTCCATAGGTTAAGCAACTCCACACTTTTTGTCACAGTCAAAATGCTACATTCATGCTCATCATTCTGATCTTATCACCCATATTATAATTGAACAAAGCACACAATATCAACTTCATCTTATTCAATATGCCTAAGGTTAGAAAAGAATAAGTAAAGTTTTGGTTATGTTGGTGTTTTTACACCAACAGAGCCCATGCACTTGATCTCTACCTTTTCTGTATGACCAAGACACACTTTCAAGCAGAGTGTGGGAGAGTCATTGATTCCCTAATTTCTACAAGTGAAGGTTTTGAACCTGCTAAGCCAAAAATTAAAACCCAAAACCAAGACGGGTTTGGCGAAAGAAGGTAACATCATCATCAGAGACACTGTCAAAAGATATGCAGCCATCTGTATCTCCATCGCTGAGACCAGATAATGCACCCGAAAGGTAAAGGACTCTTCTCCAGCTGAGTCCTGTCCGGAGGACTTAAAAATCTGAACCATGGTCGTGAGGTAACATCGGTAGTTACCCATATTTACTTTTTAGCATTGCATGAATTATTTTCACTTTTAGAATATTTATTTTTCTGCATTAGCATTGCATTTAGAAAAGAAAAATAATAAAAAGTTTTTAATTACTTCATTACATCATTGCATCATTAAAGCTTAAAGCCCCATACGAATAAATCTATGGTGTGTAAAAGCCCATAGGAATATTTACCGTGGTGTCATAAAAATATAAAAATACCAAATACACATACCATATTATATAAATAAAAAATCTAAAAATATTAAATAGACATCCTATAAAACTTGGTCAATTATCTTAGTGACAACAAATCCCCCTTATCCTAATATATGTAAGTTTTGGTGTTCTTACTTGATCAATTTTATCATTACCTTTACCCTTTTCGCTTAATAAGAAAGACCACAACAACATCCAGCTTGAGGGAGAAGACATCTCCCGTGTATCTAGATAAGTATCTTTTTTCCTTTTATTATTCTTAGTTTGTTTTAGAAAAAAAAGATGAATAACTAAAAACAAAATAAAAAGTTGTTGACGGTCACTAACATCAATTATAAACCGTCAACATAACCTGCATTTATACTTAATTCCATCACCAAACATAGGTATAGGGGTTTAAACTAATAAATTTCATGAGTTTTGGTGAATATGTATTTTCAGTAGGGTTTAATCAGAAAACCACCAAGGAGGACCTAATCATCAAAGAAAATCACGAAATTTTGTCGCGGTATCAACATGGGAAGACTCTAAAAGGGTCCAGAAGGTGAATCACCAAAGCGGGGCTCGACCCACTGCCAAGTGGGGTCGGTCGGCCTGTAGGTGGTGCCGCCAAGCCCCAGTGGGCCCCACCTGTCAGCCTCCTTCGAATGTCGATTCTCTACCGCCTTAAGGATTGCATCTAAGTCGTTGCTTAAGTCGGTTTGATCCAATGGCTCACGTTGGACCCTCAGGGCTATATATACCAGCCCTTGCCCCTCTCCCCCAACAGATCCAGAAACCCTAATTCATATCTCTCCTTTAGATCAGCATACACTAGAGGGATTAGGTCTAGAACTCTCCAATGTAGTAGATTAGTAGCTCGGGAGTGAGGGTCGAGTTGGGCTCATGCTCAAGTTCTGAATCTAGTCTTGGAGGCTCGGCGAAGCCTTGTATCTTCACTTCTACATCTTGTAAGACTTATTATTAATTCATCATATTCTTATCTATATGGCCATGTTTACTTTGAATATATATCTTACTTAGTTAAGATTATCATTGCTTTTGTGTGAGGGTTCATAGAGCGCTTAGCTTACTATAGTTTATCGATTGGGCTAAGTAGCCGAGTCTCATGTAAGCATGGTGCTTATACGTTGCTCTGCTTGTGAGTACACCCCTGCTCTCTTGGGTGGTAAGCGAAGGTGACAACCCCTGCCTATCATTTGTAGCCACTCTAAATTGAGCAGGTTTCTTAAATTGTAGGACCGCTATTTCAAGCATGCTACATCTATTGTAGGTGCTTTACCGCCTAAGCGCGTCCCAAAGTGCACAAGAGTAGAGTTAGTCTTAGCTATATATATATATATATATATATATATATATATATATATATACTTTGATCCTGTAATAAGAATATCATAGGAATCTACCTCACTCGTTGTTCTCCCGAGTTGACTAGTTTACATTATCTTAGTGACCTTCCCCGAGTGTTTTTATACTTAATTTTATCATTACCTTTACCCCTTGCTTCATCGTTGATTAGTATACATTCCTTTGTTATCCAATGATTGTGTTTCCCTTTGGTAAAATATAAATAACGATACGGAAGTGTTTTTCTAAGCTTAAATAGCTTCATCTACCGTCCATTATTCGGACAAAACGCCCATTAAACGGGCTAAACAATGTTGATTAAACGGAAACGGCGCACCACCGTGTAGCGTTTACATGGTGTTTAAATGGGCTAAACGGTCGTTTAGGCGAACAGGCTGGAATACTCCCGGTAAAATGCTACAATGGTATTTTGTGCGCTTGCGGAATGCTTTAAATTCTATTTGTGTTAATAAATACCAACAGGAAGCATGAAATTTCCGTCGGAGAGCCAGCAAAGATTTCGTTTAGATTTAATCCTTCACATCGTATAGGGATGATTGTGGATTTCTGGAAGTTCGTTTTCAGTCCTGAAGCCTTGCCAAACAATGTTAGGGGCTCGGCCATAGCCAAGATGTCTTCCCTTGTTGGCTTGACAAAAATGGTTGTGTCGTCAGCATACATTGAAGCTCTAAGTTGAGTCGTTCTTCCCCTCAGCCTGGATAGGTGTCCTTTTTCTGTTGCTAGATCCGCAGTTTTTGCAGTACGTTGGGTGACAGTGGATTACGTTGACGAAGCCCTCTGCCATGCTTGATAGGTGCATTTGGGATGCTGTTCAGTAGAACCCTCGTCGAGGAGGTGAAGAGAAGCGCAGCAATCCAGTCTTGCCATCGACGAGGAAATCCAAGTTTATTCAGCAAAGTAAGGAGATATTCCCGTCTGACTGAATCGAACGCTTTGGTGATGTCGAGCTTGATTTTCATTCCTCAAGAAAAGGAATATAGATTTCCAAGTGAAAGTTGGCATGTCGGTCATGTCTAGGAGCTTATGTGTATAGTGTACCTCACACACACCAAGCTCGGTTTGTGAGTGAAATGCAGATGCCAGTGTGTACGAGTGAAGTGGTAGGGGGAGACAGCTGAGTGGGCCGTGGGGGTTGCACTTGCACTCAGCTGTTAGATCTGAGATGCATTTACAAATTCCAATATGTTTAGTCCACATTCACATGTATGCATTATTGTGTAATGTGCACATTTTGTCAACCATCATCAAAATATCACAAAAACTTCGGGTGTGGCCAGTAAAGCTAATACCCCTGTGTGACATAGCTTTTACTAAAAGCAATTACAAAACTGCAACCATCTATTGTAATTTGAAGTATACAGTCCATATTCACTACTACAGAACTGACATCTAGTCCCGGTTGGGAACTGGTTTTAGTCCCGGTTTCCCAACCAGGACTAGCGTTCCGAGACTAAAGGTGGTGTTCTTTAGTCCCGGTTTACCACAACCGGGACTAAAGATCCTCCCAGCTTAAAAAAAAATAATGCCTCCGACCGCTGCGCCCTATGAGATTTGAACCTAAGACCTCATGCACTGCCTCGCGCGAGCTTACCACCCCACCTACACAACACATCTAACAATGGATGGGATGCTTTTCTTGTGAACTAACCCATCGGGGGACCTTTAGTCCCGGTTGGTGACTAAAGGTTGGAGGACTTTTAGTCCCGGTTGGTGGTTCCAACCGGGAGTAAAGGAACCTTTAGTTCCGGTTGGTATTACCAACCGGGACTAAAGGAACGAGGCAAAAAAAATGCCGAGACTAATGCTAAATTAGGATATCGTTTTAAAGTCTGTTCTCTGTGGTAGTAATTATTCCCCGGACAGTGGATCAATCAGCTGTGTTGGGACCCATTACTGTCGGTGTCGTTTTGCTCCCCGGCGCCCTCGGCCTCGCCTTCTTGGAGCTCGACGACTCTGTCCACCGCGGCTGCCAGCCTACGAAGCCGACGAAAATACAAGGCTATGAGCACCACAAACACCAAGGCGCACACCACGTCGATCGCCCCACAGATCATCAATATCGTGCGAGTGCTAAGCTTGCCGGGAGAGCTGTCGTCGTCGTCCTCGTCGTCCTCGTCACCTCCTGCTGCTGCTGCAGGGAACTTCACCCAGTAGCTGTACCGGCGACTCCCGTCAGTCACCTCCCTTGCCCCCGCCGTCAGCGTGTAGTGCGAACACACGCCGTGGTCAGCCGCACCGACGACGCCGGCGTCGTCCTTCACGTAGAGTGCGGCGTTGCACGAGAGGTTGCGCGCGCAATGCACCACGCACTCCCGGAGCGTCACGTTGGTCAGCGGCGACGCGGTCCGGAGCACCGTGGTGACGCCCCTCAAGTGGACCATACACGCTTTATCACCGGTCCCTTCGCAGGGGTTGCTGCTGGCGTTGCCGGCGCGCACCGGCGGCCGATCGGCGTACTCGGAGAAGTCCTTGCATTTCCCGGCGGACGAGCACACCTCGTGGATGCTGCAGGAGAGCGGGAGCTCGCAGAACCCGAGTGCCTTGTACGAGGCCCTGAACTTCTGGTGCTGAGTGTCGTAGTAGTACATCACCAGGTTGCCATCGTCGCCCAGCGCCAGGAAGCTTTACCGGTGGTTTCTTCACCGGCGGCGTGATCTGCGCCACCGTCACTCCCTGCAGGTCCAGCATTCTCAGCCCAGGCCCGTTGAGCCTCGCCGATGCCATCGTCCGGTTGGCCGGAGGGGCGAGCTCCCAGTAGGAGTACCTGGTCTCCCCGAAGTTGGAGTAGGCGGCTATCTTGTCGCCGTCAAGCTCGAAGGAGTAGAACACCGAGGACGACGCCACCTTTGTAGTGGGCGCGATCAAGTACACGGGCAGTCTGCGCTGCTGACCGCGTAGGAATGTGTCCGTCGGATCGTCCAAGCTTTGCCACCTGGTGCAGTTCTGGGCGTCGAGTAGGACGAGGTTGCCGGTCTTGCGATCCAAGTGCAGCGCCTGATGGTAGACGTTCCACTGTTAATAAGGCCTTATAAAGGTAGTACACGATAAGATACGAACAGATAATTCCATGATTCACTCGTAAATTGTATACATCTGCATGAAATGTTTACCCCGCATTTTGTAAAATTAAAAGTTTCTACACACACAAGCAGGAATATATATATCTGTCCCATTTTAAGACCTGTCTGAGTGGGGGTGTACTATGTCGTGTGCCGAGTGTGAGAACGTATCCCGTGTGCCGTACGCCGAGTGTAAGAATGCATCAAACATTTTGGCCCTCCTTCCCAGCATTAAAGTTCCATATATCCGCTCATTCACCGAGATTGTATCAATGGATTTTTCGGGTACATTAATTAAATTTAACCATGATACTTGTAGCTAGGAGTGCCATCGGTTATATAGTTTGTTTCATGCCTAACCTTGCCATGGCTAAGCTTAGTCAAGTGCAACGTGCCACACTTTTTGTGGCGGGGAATTTGAACTCCACAAAAGTCACGTGCAACATGCCACACTTTTTGTGACGAAAAAATTGGACTCCACAATAGTGATAAATTGTGGCTATAAAATAAATCTATAGCATGTGAGACAGAGCTAAGAAAATGTGGCAGCTGAAGTAGTGACAATGAATCAAAGACTTAAGATTGCTTGGCAACCTAGCTTGACCATGAGCCCATGAACCAAACAATTAAGTCCATTTAGGGGATGCAAAACTCTTACCCAAATATTTTACTTGTAGAAAACAAAGAGAGAACATCCAACCGTGCAGCCCAAATGAATTGCTAAAAAAGAGTTGACTACCGCTCCCTCCAATCCAAATTATAGTTTATTTTGCTTTTTTCTAAGTCAAACTTCTCTAGTTTGAACAAATTTATAAGAAAGCACAAGCATCTACAATATGAAATTAGTTCCATTAAATTATTTATGAAATATATCTTGATAGTATATTTTTTTAAAACTTGCAAATATTAATAGTTTTATAATACCTAGTTAAAATTAGAGAAGTGTGACTTAGAATAAAGACAAAATAAAGGATTTGAAGATGAGGAAGTGCTAAAGTACAAAATGCATGCATATATTCTAAGCCCATGAAACTATTAAGACAGTACAATCTTTTGTTTGTTTAGTTGAATGGGCATCTTTAAAAAGGAAAATAATAAATGCCCTTCCCCAGCTTTTATGAAATATACTTGACATCAACCTTCTAAATGCCTGGTTCTATGCCATAAAAACCTTATTTTCTTTTTCCATAACATCCACTACTAAGTTGATCTTTAATTCTAGTCCAGTAGTTTTTCAAGTCCTTATAGAGTTTTAGTGGAATACTCGCCAGGCCTTCCAATAGGCACATACATGTTTTGCGCCAAAAGAAACATATTTTCTTTTTTCGCAACATCTACTATTAAGGCAAGTATTATTTTAGTCCAACGGTCTTTTAAAAACCCGCTTGATGTCTTTCCCACGCTTTTACGACAGACTCGATCGGTATAAACCTTCTCATCATCTACATCTATGCCAATTTCGCGCTACAACATATTAGTTCATATATTTTTGTTTCATTTCTAGGAGTTATTTCTTTTATCAGATCCGGTAGGTAGCTATTGTTGCTTGATTTGGCAATTCCCCCGTTCGTGTAATAATACAGTAATAGTAGGATTGCGCCGGTGTGGTTTGGGAGCACCGCACCATGGATGACATCTCTCTCAACAAAAAACCGCCGATGTAGACGCCTACCCCAGCCCAGATAGCTGATGATTGACTTGGTCTACCCATGCACTCATGCACAGCCAATCCTAGCACTGTTTTATCGTCTACCCCTATGAAAATCTACGAACAAATCCCAATTATTAATTCCTGGTAGCAAATGCAGAACAATGGCTAAACAATGGACGAACGAAGCAAACAAAAACTGAAACAATGAAGAAAAGAGTAGACAGAGATCACGGCGAATCACCTTGACGCCTTGCCCCGCCGTGCCGGACAGCCACCCGACTTTCCCGGCGCCGTCCGTCAGCAGCAGCTGGCCGTCCTCCGTGAGCTCGAGCCGGCACAGGGCGGCCGGCACGAACTTCTCGAGATGGTCGGAGGCCCAGACCTTAACGCCGCCCAGGAGGACGACCAGCGAGCACGTGCACCGCCCCGCGCCGGCCTCGGCGGCGCTCACGGCAGAGACAAAGGCCGGCTGCCGATGGCCCTGGGCATCGAGTACCACCGCCCTCGCGGCGAAGCCCGGCTGGCAGGGCGCCGGAGGCAGCTGCACCGTGGCCTGGCCGCCGAGAGGGAAGTCTGCCGATGAGAGGGCGATTTGTTCGAGGAGAAGCACGGCCACGGCGAGCAGCATAGGCAAAACGCGGGCGCGGTTGCTCGCCGTGGCCATCGCGGTGTTCAGACTTCAGAAAATCCCTCTTTTACAGGGTTCATTTGATATGGTAGCAGGGAATGAAATGGCATCGAAGATTTCGATTTCAACTCGATTTATTCTACTCACACCCGTTCGTGTTTACATTCTGAATTTGAATTTCCAGCGATCGAACTGTCCAGAGAGAGATGCATGCCAGACGGCGGCCGGCTAAGGTTGGCAGGAGTTAATCCCGTGGCAGGATTGGCGTTCAGAAATGATAGTTCAGCCAGGAGAAGTAACGGCCGCAGTGTCATCGTGCTTGGAAAAGAAAAAAGAAATCTGATATTCTTGGAAGAAAAATGGTCGTCGTTTGACTCGCGTCTCGTGTCAGTTGCAACTTCTTTGCGAATTTGATCTGATTGAATATAATAGTGAAAATTCGAACGGATTTCGTACGTTAATATCAGAATTGAGTGTCATTGCTGCCGCTGCGATAATTGAGACACCGAGAGAAACAGACATAATTTTCTATAAGGCCCAGATTTTCTTTTGAAAATTTGAATGGAACTTTGGCATTGATACTTGGAGGTATTTTCTTATTCATTAGCATTTCATCGTGTACGTGCTGACACTGTAACTTTCACTTTCTGTTCTATTTAAAACAGCATGTAAATCGATGACTGAAAGAAACGGAAGAACACGATATGATCGTCTCAATAGCTGTTTGTGCTCTTTTTTTGCCTGCGAAGCTATGCAGATATATATAAAAAAAGGAAATGACAGAGGACCATAAGGAGAAAACATATATGGACAACTATAAATTTTGCGCTAAAAATGGATAGTAGTACTTTGTAGTTACAGCATGAATATGTAACAACCATGGAAGAAGTGTTTAGATTTACGGGCCCGGCCCTTGCGGGGTCCGCACTGGGCCCTCGGATCCTTGGCCCATCCTAGGAATCTAAAGGCAACGATGCCTTGGTTGCCAGCCAATGAAACAACCTAGGCTTAGGCAGGTGGTCAATTTTAGGAGGTGTTTGGTAAGGCTACTCGAGGAGTCGAAGCCATTTAGAGGAGCCACTCTAAAATGACTTTAGCTTCTCTGTTTTTTACTAGAAAATAGCTCCTCCTATAAAATATTTGGTAAGGCTCCTTCGGAGAGGCCAGAGCCGGGAAAGAGCCGGCCCTTAATTTCATGGCCTGGTTGGCTTGACTTTATGGCGTTGTCTCAATGAATACTCGACTTTGGCAAGCGGAGGTGAAAAGCAGTCGGGCGTTTCTGTTCTTCTACTTTGTGTTTCACTCTTGGGCGTCTTTAGCAGATTGATAGTTGAACATATCCAGTGAAACCTTTTCTAAAATTGTGCACCTATGCTTATATACATGTGCCTGTTTGATCATAGGGTGTTGAGATTTGAACATCCAATGAAATTGCAAACTAAGCATAGCTCAGCTGGATTCCTTGTGGTAAACCTAACCACCCAAGTGCAAGTCTTTGACTTGATATGGGTACTAAAATTTTTCTAATTTTATTCCATGATTTAACGATGTTGCTCATTGCTCATTCAGTAATATAAAAAAAGAACCTCTGTTTATAATTTCATGAGTAAGAAGGAAAAAAAAGGGATCTCGGTCCATTGTTTCTCTCCAGGCCCTCGAGGTCTGTTGATCCCTCTCGGCTGTCCTACACAGGTAAGCGGTAAGCAGTAAGCTTACCATCACACTCACTCACTATGGCTAGAGGGAGAAGAGGATATTGAGAACAGCTCACACACACAGCACAAGCCCAAATAATGACCGAAAATTCTGTTTCTGGATATGGCAAACTGAACTGAGTTTTCCCATTGTCTTTGGATAAAATATATACAACTCTAGCTGTACCTCTACCAGGTACATGGTTGTTGGTGAGTACACCAACTGCCTACTCCTAAGGTATATAGTTGTTGGTAAGTACATCAACTACCTACTACTAAGGTACAAGGCTTAGCTCAGCCATCTCTACACTACATGACTGAAGTAAGCCATTTCTACCTACTGCCTCACTGCTGCTGCAACAGCAGTGAGTGGTCAGCCGAGCCGACCAGTTCCATCTCCTAAACCAGGAGAGGACAACTGTGCCGACCAGTCAAGACAGAGATGGGAACAACAGATTATGTCTAACAATTCTTCTCATAATCCTGCTGCTAACCTGATGCCTTGACCTCATCCATGCCAATCATTTTCCTCAGCTCCATGAACCGCAGGCGTCCAAGTGACTTGATGAGGATGTCAGCGAGCTGTCTGCCGGTCTCGACAAACTCGATGACGATCTGCCCTCCATCGAAGCAGTCCCGGAGGTAGTGGAACTTGATATCGATGTGCTTGCTCCGGTCGTGGAGGATAGGGTTCTTGGCGAGGGCGATGGTGGGCTGGTTGTCCACCATCAGAGCCGGCGGGTGAGCTTCCTCGCCGGTCAGCCCGCCCAGCAGCCAGCGCAGCCAGACAGCCTGGCACGCCGCCATGGCCGCTGCGACGTACTCCGCCTCACACGTCGACAGCGCCACGATATTTTGCTTCAACGACTGCCAAGCAATGGGGGCCTCTCCAAATAAGACGAGCACGCCGAAGGTGCTCCATCGCCCATCAATGTCGCACGCCATGTCCGCATCGCTGAAGACAGTGAGCTCTGGCTCACCTTCATTTGCCTTGGGGTGCCTCACTAAAGACCGTGAGCCGCAACTCACCCTTGCCGTCACTCTTGGGGAAGAAGATCGCTTGATCGAGCGTCCCCTTAACGTAGCACAGCAACCTTTTCACTGCCGACCAGTGATCTTCGCGCGGGTCCTCCATGAAACGGCTGACGTACCCAACCGCGAACGCAATGTCCGGTCAGGTATGAGTGAGGTAGCGCAGCCCACTGACGATGCTCCGGTAGCGCGTCGCATCCACCTTCGCAGCAGTATTGTGCTTGCTCAGCTTCAGCTGCTCCTCTATCGGAGTCGCACATGGCTTGCACTCCGCCATACCACCACGCTCCAGTAGCTTCTCCACATAGGCGCACTGACCTAGGGAGATGCTCTGCTTCCCCTGCCTCACCTCGATGCCGAGGTAGTAGGAGAGCGCGCTGAGGTCACTCATCTTGAAACGAGCCATCATCTCGCGCTTGAAACCGTCGATGTCCTCTGCTCGCGCTCCGTTGATGATTAAGTCATCCACGTACACGCCGACGATAAGCTCCTCCTTCCCCTGTCACTGTGTGTAGAGCGCGTGCTCTATAGCGTAGCGAGTGAACCCAAGCTCGTCCAAGGTGGCGTCGAGCTTGGCGTTCCACGCCCGAGGGGCCTGCCGTAGCCCGTAGAGCGCCTTGCGCCGCTTTAGCACCTTGTGCTCAGCGCCCTTGACGGCGAAGCCCAGAGCTTGCTTGACGAAGACTGTCTCTGCGAGCTTGATGTTGAGGAACATAAATTTGACGTCGAGGTGGAGCAAAGACTTTCTCGAAGTCGATGCCCTCACGCTGCACAAAGCCACAGGCAACGAGCCGAGCCTTGTACTTGACAATGGCATCGCGCTCGTCCTGATTCACCTTGTAGACCCATTTTAAGCCGATCGGCCTGCAGCCCACCGATGGATCTACCAGATCCCATGTGCCATTGTCCTCGATGGCCTTCATCTCTTCCAACATCCCCGTCCGCCAATTGGCGTCGTGTTCAGCCACTGCAAACATCGGTGGCACATCGGCACTAACAAGGAGCAGCTCTGGATCGTCGAGCAGCCGACTCGCCAGGCCTGTGGCCCCTGCATTGCCGACGATGTTGTCCAGCCTATGGAACCGTACCTCCTCGCCATCGTGGAATGCATCCACGAACTCGCTAATGTCGCTTGGAGGGGAGGTGAACTCGATCGGTGGTTCCCGGCCTCCCTGTTCTACCGGAGTGGTCGGCATCGCTGCTGGACCGCTCGGCACCACTGTCGGAGTGGTCAGGTCCACTTTTGGAGCGGTTAGCACCACACCTGGAGTGATCGGCTCCACTTCTGGAGCGCTCGGCACTGCTGCTGAAGTGCTCGGCACCTCCTCTAGAGTGGTCGGCATTGCTACTGGACCGCTCGGCACCACTCCTGGGGTGGTCGGCACCTCTTCTCCAGTGTCTCCACCACCGCGGATGACTAAGTGTTCAACGATGAAGGTGCTGCTCAAGCTGCCAGCTTCCCCCGTGCCCGGACCGTCCTAGTCCCAGGCCACCATCTCATCAAGCACCACATCCCTAGAGATCACCACCTTGCCTCTCTTGGGATCATAGAGCCGATACGCCTTGGTGCCCTCCACGTAGCCCAGGAGCACCATTGGTGTGCTCCTGTCTTCCAGCTTGTCGAGGTGAGGCTTGATGTTCTTGACATGGCCAACACAGCCAAATGTCCTAAGGAAGGACACATTCGGCTTGCGTCCATGCCAAGCCTCGAACGGCGTCTTGCCCTTCAGGGCCTTGGTGGGCATGCGGTTGAGGATGAACACCGTCGTGGTCACCGTCTCTCCCTAGAACTTTGCCAGCATGCTTTTGGCCTTCATCATGGATCGAGGCATGCTGACCACCGTCTGGTTTCGCCGCTCCACCATGCCATTCTGCTGTGGCGAGTACGGCGTGGTGTGGTGTCGCACCACACCCTGATCCATGCAGTCATCCACCAGCAAGATGAAGTACTTGTGACCGCCGTGCATAGCCGGCGTGATCGGCCCACAGAGGTCACCATGGACCAGCTCGAGGGCCTCTGTCGCGTGGTGCTTCGCCATCTTCGGGAACAGCGGCCTTCTTTGCTTCTCGACAAGGCAGCTATCACATAGCTCACCTACATGCTCGATATGAGACATCCCAGTCACCATCTTCTCTAGCCGACCAAGAATATCGAAGCTAAGATGGCCATACCGGACATGCCACAGCCACGGCTCCTCCATGTGCCATGCAGCCAAGCAGATGGGCTGCTCCACCTTCAAGTCGAGCAGGTACAACCGGTTTTAGGACCTCTTCACCTTGGCAAGAAGCCACTGTTCTCGGTCTCTGATC